GAACGGAGTGCAATTATGTATTGGTCGCACAATTCCTGTTGCAAGACCGATGGGCCAGAAAAAAAAAAAGGAGGAGGAGGAGGAGGAGGAGGAGGAGGGAGGAGGCGACGGGAAGAACAGAACGGGGAGAGGACGAACATGATAACAAGAGAGAGGGGAGGGGAAGGAAGGGGGAAAGGATAATGATGACGAATTTGGGAGACCGCACGGGGGAGCAAGAGGAAGGCGAGGAGGAAGAGTAATGGGGGAGAGAGTGGAGCAGGTGGAAAAGCATATTGAGAAGGCGGTGTAGGAGGAGAAGAATTTAGTAGGACCGAGAGGACGGGGGACGGAAGTGGAGGCGGGGACACAGGAGGTAGAAGGGGGTGGAGGCAGGAAAAGGAGGTTGAGGAGAAGGGATAGACTGAGAAGAAATGGCCGGGTCCGGAGCGGGAGGAGGAGGAGGAGAAGAGGAGGAGGAGGAGGAGGAGGAGGAGGAAAAACAAGGGTCCAAGCGGGTACTGGCCGAAAGCTATTGTTGCTGCGCATGTTATCGTTTCCGTCCTCGCCGATCCGTTCCTCCTCCTCCTCCTCCTCCTTCTCCTCCTCCTCCCGCCTCCTCCTCGTCCTCCTCCTCCCCCTCCTCCTCCTCCTCCTCCTCCTCCTCCTCCGCCTCCTCTTCCCTGCTTAAGTGGCTCTGACAGGATTTGACGGGCTGAACGTGCTTTCGGCCTTGCCTGCAAACTTCACTGCGCCCATCGGTCCTGCGCCTCTGGAATGCCCCACTTCTTGTCGGAGCGGCGGAACAATGACAACATATTGCACAATGCGTTCCCACAATCTTTGGCTGTCTCAAAATCTGGCAACGGATCCCGAACCTCATGCACCAATACTTCGGCGCAGAAGACGAGGAAATCATTCGTTTCACCACCGTGCAAAGATATGCCCTCGGATTTCGTGTTCAGCATGCCGACTGTCAGGTCCTGAATTCTGTTCCTCTGCCTGCCTGCTCTATCCTCCTGCCCATACCAGGCCATGGTTCTAGATTTGGTAAGCTGCACGGTGCCATGCGCGATCTCAGGCTGAGTAGTCCCAGGCATCCTGAAGCAATTCTCTTCTATGATGGTATGGATCAGCCAACCTATGTTGTAGAATTGGAACACACCGAGCGAAAAGCAATGGAGCCAGTCTTCAACTAAATGCGATGGGCTCGTATACAATTCATTGCATATCAGGGGGTTGCGATGCCTTGCGTGGCGCTCATTACTCCGCCTCCAAAAACGAACATGTAGGGGCTTCGGGCGAATGTCAAAGTCATTCGTGGTCGGTAGTTCGGGCCAAGGTTCCATGCGATCACCCTTCTTCAAGCCTAAGGTGTCGAAATCACGTTCTAAGCATCTGCCTCGGTTGCCTTGCTCGCGCTTGTCGAAGAATAGATTGCCGCGCAACCTTGGAAAATCAGCATCAGTAACAACTCTGTCATATTCACACGCCCGACATTCTGCGTCGTAGTCATCAACGGTCAGAGTGGACCATGGCGCGCCCATCGGGCTGACGCCGAGGAAATTGTCCCAAGTGTCGCGAGTGCAGTCGCACTTCGGGCAAGGGCAGTCCGTAGATTGCCACGAAGCAAAAGCCATCGTCCCAACGTTTTCGCTCCAGTCTGCTTTCAAGAACAACAGGACGGCTCGCCACCCAAACTGTGTGCCAGCGCAAGAAGCCTCGCCCTCGTCAGAGGGCCCCCACGCGGAACCATCTGGGCGCGCATCTGGCCACCTTCCATTCTGCATTGATAAAAACGACCACTTAAGCATCGACAACACGCCGTATATTGTGCACCACATGCGACACCCGCATTTGCAAGCATCGCTCTTGCGGATTGTTGCGCACAGATGGCGGACCCGTGTTACGATGTTATAGACGTAAAAGCCGATGACAGAATCGGTCCTGGTGAAAGCCACGCCGTCCGTGTAGACCGCCAAAGGGAAAACAGGTACGCCGTTTGGGGCTCCTGTAACCACAGGGTGCTCTGCGTAGACGGGAGGCAAGATACCAAGGTCGATTGCATCTTGGAGGCGCTGTTTGATGTCGGGCGCGTTCTCGGCCTCCTCGTGGACTGCCACGTGGGGAGGCGTTGTCGGCATGTCGACCATCACCCTCGAAAGGTCAGAACGATTTGACATGGGCACGTTCATATCCAAGTAGTGTTCATCAGAAGCCCGCGATCGCATCACTGTGTCCCAATGGCGGGTCCAGTGTCCCGATTGCCGATTCTCGGTCGGCTCCATGGCGAGCTCATTGACGAAGCCGACAACGCCCGCCTTGGTTGCCCAGTGGGCCAGCAGGCAGGCCTGCTTGGCAGACAGCACCTTCTCATTTTTCAATTGGACGATATAGTCCGCGAAGATCTCAGCACCCTCTTCGCGAGAATCATGCACGCGCTGATCCTCCCACGGCGCAGCAACTTCCCAAGCAGCCATCTAGACTGGGAGACGCGAGCGCGGCCTGTGCGATCCCCTTGAGCCAAAATAGCTACGGAGGAGCAGCAGGAAGTTTAGCAGAAAAGGGGGGCTCACACCTTGAGGTGCCCATGTATGCCTAGAAGATCTGGGACCAACATGGCGCAACGCTCGGATTCCTGCAATTTGCAAGTTCTCACCGCAATTGGCTCGACTAGCCTGGCACGCCCGCAGCCTGGCACAATATGATGCCTCCACACTCCACTAGCCTGGCAGACCCCCTGGGCTCCTTGGGGGGGGGGGGCGAGGGCCCCCAAATCTGGAAATTTGGGCCGTTGGGGCGAGGGGCCCAAAGTCGGGAGTTCTTGGCCGAGGGGCCAGGTGGCTCGTCTGGCACCCGCTCTGGCACAGAGGCGGCAGGCGCCTCCTGGGACGCGGCCCCTCGCGCGGCTGCCTGCAGAAAGTAGGCAACCTTGTCTCTCTCTCGCTCCATCTTCCCATGAACGGATTGTCCGCTCTATTGGTTCGATCTCTCTCTATCTCTCCTCTCCCCCTCTCTTCTCTCTCTCCCTCTCTTTGAAACAGGTTCCGCATCCGCGTGAACTCTCTCCCCTCTCTCCCTCTCCCTCTCCCCCTCCCCCCTAAGAAATTAACGTTCTAGCACATTTTTAGACCCCCCTATTTCAATAAACAAGGGGGGGGGGGGGGGTCTAAAATTGGGCCCGAATTGTATTTTTTACACGCTATATGCCCCCCCCCCCCCCCCCCTCCCCCCCCCCCCCCCCCCCCCCCCTCTTTTCGGACCCCCCCAGGAGCCCCCCAATCCCCCTCATGGGTTTCAGCCCCCGTCCCCGCCCCCCTTGCCTCAGCATCCGCGGGGGGGAGGGAGACCAGAGAGGGTGGCGGCAAACAAATCTACCTCACGCTCTGAGGCGAGGGGGCCCCAACGGCAAACAAATCTACCTCGCCTTCCCCCGTGCTCAGAGGGGCGAGGAATGAGGGAGTGGGAGGGGGAGGAAGGGGGAGGAGGAGAGGAAAGAAGAGGCATCGCTTTATGTTGGCAGCGCGTGGCATCGAAACTCGAGCGGTGATTCGCTTAAGCCTCGCAGGCGCAATGCGATCGTCGGGCCTACCTGACACCGCGCTCGCTGGGCCAAGGTGGATGAGGAGGTGAAGGGGGAGTTGGAAGGAGGGGCGGGGGAGGAGGGGGGAACCGCGGAGGAGGGGAGGTGGAGGAATGAGGAAGTGGGAGGGGGGAGGAAGGGGGAGGAGGAGAGGAAAGAAGAGGAATCACTTTCTGTTGGCAGCGCGTGGCATCGATGACCAAACATTTCATAGATCAGGTGTCCGCGCTAGAAGTAAAACGCCGACGCAATCGAACATCAAGTTTCATCGAAAATCATCAAATGTCATCAAACGCGGGCTTGATGAAACTCAACCCTGATGTCATCAAGGAAATGTATGATTGGCTTGAGACACCCTCGCAAAACGCAACGACAACGGTGATGACATCACGGCCTGATGACATCTGATGACATCTGATGTCATCGGCATCGGCCTCGCCTTGGGATCTCTGACGCTTCGGGTATCACTGGCCCCAGCATCCACCGACAGCACCGAGCGCGAAAAAAAGCCCAAGATTGTTGCCAGCACGCTGGCACGGTACCTCTCTGGTAGCGCCACCACCCCACAGCGAACGCTAATCGCAGCCGCTGCCCCCTAACAAGGAGCAGTCATGCGAATACGAGAGAAAGGCGCATCACTAACTAGGTGCAGTGGTGCAACTGACCTACCCCGCGTGCCGATCACTCATCGGAAGCGTCTGCGTTCAAGTTCTCCTGGTGGATGCGGTGCGCTGCCTCGTTCTGCTTCGTCACAGACGCCGTGAACTTCTTGAGCTCATCCGTGCGGGCAGCCTCGGTCATGATGTAGTGCTCGTCCCAGGTCTTCTTCGCGTGATTGGCGAACGCGTTGCCCAGGAGAAAGCACTGCTCCCAGAACTCCGAGCCCTTCTTGAAGTCCTGGATCTTGTCCCGACCAGCGCGAAGCCTCTTCAGCTGGTGCTCGTTGTTTGCCCACTTCCACGCACTGTCACTCGCGATCAAGCCAAGGATGTCGGACAACGTCTGCAGGGCGAGCATCGCGTCCTTCTTGGCCGCCATGGCGTTCGAGATGGCCTTCGTCAACTCCTTCTTGCGAGCAGTCTCGCGATCATCGCCCCTCCTGTCGGGGTCGTCGTCGTCCCTGCCTGCGCCCGCGGCTGCTGCTGCAGCAGCCTTGGCCTTGGCCTTTGCTTTGCCCTTGGCCGCGGCCTTGGCCTGGGCGGCAGGCTGGCGGGGGGCGCTCCCAGTAGCGGCGTCATCGCCTGAGTCGTCACCAAGTGCCTCGGGGTCGGAGACGGCGTTCAGCTTCGAGGTCTTGCTGATCCCGATCGTCTTCTTGTGCTTCGCGGAGACGTTCTCCTCGATGTCCAGGAACACAAGGCGCTTGCTCCTGCTGTTGTACTTCACATACGGGAAGCCCCGAAAGAGGCGGCCAGCCTGCCAGTCTGCAATGCAGCTCTTGACGATTTCGATGCCTGCTTTGAACGCAGGCGGGTCGTCACCCTGGAGCTTCACGATCTTGCCGAACGGCCTGTAATAGCCATTGATTTCAGACAAATCCGTGACCTCCTCGGTCTCGGACTTCATCACTTGGACCTTTTTGTTCAGCTCCAGCTTTGCCCACTTAACCCTGAAGGCGTTCTGGGCATCACGATTTTTGCCAACTGCCTCGTACTTACGCTTCAGAGTGGAGTTGACCGCCTTCTCACGCTGAAAGTCTTGGCCGACAGAGGAGCGCAGCTGCACGTCTCCGTTGTCGATGCATTGCTTCAGGAGCTTCATCTTCTCAGTGTAATCTGCCACGTCCATGTGGTCTGACTCAGGTACGGATCCGTCCTTGGAGCTGAACGGGGCGTGCTTGTTGATCTGCTCGCAGAGCTCCTCCTCGGTGGCCTTCTTCGAGCTGTCGATCATGTCCGGCGACTGCGGAGTCCCGCACTTGCTGACCAAGAGTTCAAACGCCTTTTGCCAATCTGGAGCCTCGGATGCGGTCGGGGTCGGCGACGTTGGGGATGGCCCCCCCTTGACTTCGGCGAGAGCCGCGGAAACGACAGAGTCCATCGTCCCAGCGTGCTGCGGAGCAGATCGAGTTGCGAACGTCACGCATGCAGATCTTGACAATAACGAGTTTGAGCCAAAATGACAACGGACATTCTGAGTTTGACACGGCGCCTTCGGCGTTGTAATCGTATTGATGATTTCCCCCAGACCGTGTGCAGCAGGTCGAACTCACAGACTGTTAACTTGCCCTCGCAAATGCGACCCCCCCTCCCCCCTAAGGAGCCTTATAAGAGGGGGGTTCTCCAATGGGCGTGTCTCTGCCTGCCTCCCGACCGTCTCGAACTCCTGGAGCAAACTATTTTGCCCAAGGACTGGGGAAGTTTAAACGAGTTTAACACTAGAGCCAGGAGCCCCAGGAGATAAAGCGCCCGTGGCCAGGGAAGCCTCGGGCGACGCGAACCCTGTAGCAGTTTACTCCAGGAGGCATTTTACATCATGTATCATTTTACTCTGGGGGGCAGGAGGAGGATAATGAGGAGGAGGGGTCACGGGAGAGGGTACTAATGCGATGACGATGACTCATATGATGATGTGTTGATGTTCCGTGTTGTGTGATGATGATGATGACGATGACTCATATGATGATGATGATGATGATGATGATGATGATGTGTTTTTATATTGGATGCGTACCCGTGGAAAGCAACCGCTGGCTCAATCGTAAAAGTGAAGGAGCTTCGAATCGTTGGGTCTCGAGCGCGCCTCGTCGGGACCCTCAGCCCGAAAGCGCCGCGAGCTGCTCGCAACGGCCGTTCTCAGTCAGACTCGTCGTCCTCGTCCATCAACGGGGCGTCGAAGCCGATGGGCGACGGCCTCTGCTTCGCCTTAGCCTTCGGCCTCGGCGCCCCCTCGCTGGCGGGAGCCTTCGGCGCGGCCGTCTCAGACTTGCCCTTCTTGGCCTCCACGGCGGCCTCCTGCGTAGGCGGCGCTGCTGGCGCGGCCTCTCCAGCAGGGGCGCTCGCAGTCTTGGAGCACTTGGCGGGGGTGCGGTCGCTGGCTGAAGCAGCCGCAGGACGCTTCATCCCAGGCGTGACAGCGGTGGGATTCGTGCAGCCCTTCTTCTGCGGCGACTCCTCCTTGACGGTGCTGAGCGCGTCGGTGATCATCTTCTTGTTGTCGTCGATGTCGCCGTAGTCGACGGAGCCGTCCGAATGCAAGGCCATGAGCTCTTTGACTTTCGTGATCGTGTTCTCACGCTCCGAGTGGTTGCGGCCATTGCCGAGGACGACCTGGAAAACTTGCCAATACTTATCGTTGCCTTCGTCCAGCTGGTGCACAAGGAATGCGATGCCGTTCACTTTGTCGTTCTTCTTTGAAAGCGTGAGCTCGCACTTGAGCTTGGTGCTGGTCATCTTGGCAAGGGGGCCCTTCGTCTTCAGGGACTCCGCCTCCTTCCAGGTCTCGAACTCCTCGACCGTGGCGCTGGAAACAGTGCGCACGGTGTCGCCCCACTTCGCCTTGCAGAAGTCTGTCTTCTTCGAGCCCTCCTCCACGAAGATCTCGGCGTACTCGTGCTTGCCCTTCGTCCCCTTGCTGCGCCACGCTCGCCGATGCTCTGGGTCGTAGCCGTAGATGTACTCCTCCTTGCTCGCAGTCGCTGGAATCTCAGCTCCCGTCTTCTTCTTGGCGCGGTACTTGGGATGCACCAGGAACTCTGGGGGCTGCGAATCCTCCTGGTTGGGGTCTACCCAACCACCAGGGGGCTCCATCTCCTCATCATCGTCGTCCGCCCCATCCTCGCCCTCGTCCTCCTCCGCAGCCTCGTCCTCTGGCCGTTCTCGCCGTCCTCGTCCTCGCCGCCGCCCTCCGCGAAGGTCTCAACCTCTGCATCGTCCAACGGCGCGTCGGTGCCGAAGACCTGGCTCACCCACATCGGCTGAGCCCTGTCTGGGCGCTGG